AGCTATCTTTATATTGATGGATAACAGCCACACGTTAAGGACTGAAAGAACAGACTATAGAAGCATCCTGCACATGATATTTATGGAAGGTTTTCTTAGTCGTTAACACACGTGGCTCTTCCTTCCATCGGCGCTTTCACAGAATCCTAGAAAATTCAGGTTGAAGGGAGCTCAGGAGGTCACATCTAGTTCAACCCCCTGCTCCAAGCAGGACCAGCCCCAACTACATCATCCCAGCCAAGGCTTTGTCTAGCCGGGTCTTCAAAACCTTTAAGGATGGAGATTTTGCAACCTCTCTAGGTAACCTTTCCTTCCCCAGTTGAACCATTTGGGTACCTGGGAAATCTTTGAACTCTGGAGAGGCTTTGTAGTGATAGTCTGTTCCACTGCAGTGGGAAACTCTTCTCAAAAATCAGTCTAGCTCCCAAGAGCCTTTCCAGGAGCAGCCACCATATAACCTCCTCTGGCATTGTACTGGCATTTTCAAATAAGATTTTCAAAATAATTTATACATTGCTTAAAATAATCTTTTCTCTCTCTCTCTCTTGTCAGCAAAACCAGAAGAGATCAAATCAGTGGAGGCTGTGACAGGGAGTGACATCACAGCTCCTCCAAACAAAGAGCTTCCCCCAAGTCCTGAGAAGAAGACCAAGGTTGGTATCAATTAGGACCATTTCTGCCTCGCGCTGATTTGAGTTCCCTGCTTTTTCTCTGCTTCTCAAGCTGTGACGATGAAGTTCTGTTTTCTGAGCCAGAGTCCGTATAACTAGAACACTGAACGGTGCCGTTAGAGACAAACCAGCCTGCAGTAAACCTGACTGGAACTGGATTTAATTCGGCAAATTTATGCTAAACTTAATGCACGTTAGGTGATGTCTGTATTGAAGCCACAAATAAATATTCTTGAAGTATTCTGAAAATATGTATTTTGATAGCTTGAGGAAATGATTGCAGAGCCTTCCAGAGGCCGTGCTCAGACCCTGGTGCTCTGTTATGCTCAGTATTGTACAAAGGGTCAGTGATGGGACCTGCTTCAGGATGCTTCCAGCCTTCAGCTGAATGAAGCAGAACTCAAGAGATTCACACTCTTGATCCTGCTGAAATCAGTAATCAATTAGCTCCATGCATACCACTAGGCAGCAATGCCCAGTGCTTTTGTTGAGCATAGGCCTGCATACCAAGAACTCATACATGCCCATTCTCACCCTGTTGCTGACTGTGTTGCCTTGGACGTTTCCGGGCTACATCCTGTGTCCACTGAATTCAATGGTGCAACTCCAGTGGATCAGGATTTGGCCCCGTGTTCCTGTTTCTTGTCTGTAACACAGCTAGTCTGCAACTTCCTGTGATTCTTTTATTATGCTCAGAAAACAGAATGTAATTTTTATTTTGTTTCCTCTTGATGGCACTTTCTGTTCCTGGCTGCTTGACATTTTTTGTTTACAATGAGCTGTTTTCTTTTTCTTTTTTGTCTGTTTTGCGTTTTCCATTGGATGTTGCTTTTTGTCAAATGTAAAGCCTTCAGCATCCACACCGTCAGCAAAGCCCGCCGCAGAAAAGGCCAGGCCTCTGTCTGCTACCAGCCCCAAGCGGCCAGCTTCCACTACGCCTGGCCAAAACAAAAAATCCACTAGTCCTACCACAGGCCCTGCTGCGGCCACTCCCAAACGCCCGGCCACCGGTACCCCGCGGCCCTCCGCTTTAACTGCAAAAGACACTAAACCAAAGGTAAGAAGCATTTTGCTGTCCCAGGAAAGCTCCTAGGCTACCAGCTAAATAAACCTGTCTTACCTGACAGGCAAACAAAAGTAGTGCAATTCCAGAGAGAATGGAGCAATCGGATGAATGCCCTGCTTGGTTCTGCACAAGCTGGCATGGTCAGCCTGGGTGGGTCTGATCAGTCAAGGCCTAAATACTTTATTGTACATGTTGTGACATGGAGGGATAGGCAGAGGAAATGTTCTGCTTTTACAGAAGTTGTTCTCGTGAGCTACCCAGAGGTACTTTCAGGACTCTTATTTTATTTTAATTTTTTTTTTTTTTCTATTTCCAAAAGTTTGTAAGCGAATCTGTTCTGTGCTACTCACCTTGGAGTACAGCTGAGTTTGTGGCAGGGACCTGGGAATACTGAATTGAGAACTGAATGTGGGTGTTAAACACCATATTCTATAAAAAGAGCTGGAGCGATGAGTTGGCAAGAAGGACTCAGAACCAGGAGGTAAATGAGACCATTGGAGAAAAGTGCTAGGGAATAGAGAGCTGCAGTCTAGGCGAGACACAGAAGAAACTGTTTACCCTAGCTAGTTAATGAGTTGAATTTACAGCTTGGGCAAGCCATCTGAAATATTATAGAATCCATGAGTAGACGGCTAACAGCTGACTGGAGAAAGCTGCTGAAAAGGTTATGGAGGTCTGCAATTGCTAGATTTATTTCAAGGCAAAGGCTAAGGATCTAGACATACAATATATTAGGAGATAGAAAAGGGCAGAGCTTTCCTGCATGCCAGTCACCCAAAGAATCCTTTTCTTGGGCAATGTTGAACTAGGGAAGTGGCCTAGTTGTCTAAGGCCCTTGCTACACATTACATATATTACATAATTAACTGGTTAATCACACAGTACACTTAGATCAGCCACATATGCAAAGTAGTGTATTTACTCAGATATAAGACTAGGCTCTTTCCCTGGATGTACCCCGGTCAACATGAAGGGAAAAGCCCCTCGTCTTACATTTACACACACAGAACCCACATTAAACACATCACTTGATCTTGGATCCACTGCTAAAAGAAGCATGAAACTGATTAAATGCAGCCAACGCTGAGTACAGCTATAAAACACAGGGCCTGTAGGAGCCCATGGGAACCTGCCACTCTTTTAAATTTTTGTCTTGGGCCTTGGTTCTGGTTTCACTTGTCGACTGGCTGCCAGGGGACTGCCTGCTTCTGGATTGGCCACCGGGGAGGTACACTGACCAAAAAAGGTTGAAAACCCCTGAGTTAAGTCTGTGTGGCGCTACAAGGATTGGTTAGTGCAGCCCGTCTGAATAAAACAATATGGTAGAGCCTATTGAGTTCAGTCCCCCTTAGTACCAACTTCAAGTCATGGTGAACCACTGCATTAAATATATTTCAATTTCCTCTTCACTTCTGCAGCTGAGTTGTGCCTGTCTCTCCCATTTCCAACAATTCCTATTTTTTTCTCCAGCCTTAAATGTCTGGCAGACGTCACCAAATGGGTTCCCAAGCAGTTCACTCAGAATCTCTCTGCCAGCCTTTCTCTCCGCATGTCACACACAATTAATGTGGCCCTGCCCTCTGTGAGGGGAAACTGGACCAGGTTGTCCTATGCTTCATCTGCATATAAATGTTTGGAGGATCCCAGGACTCATGACAAGAACACCCAGTTCTAGTCATGAGTTGTGGTGGAGGGGGAGCAATTGGGACATGGATCCTTTTGGGGGGGGGCAGGGGAAGGAGGTGTCTGGAGTACACGCACGTACTGAGCACTGCTGAGCTGTGGGGTCACTAGCTTGAAACGCTCTTGACTAGTGGGGCCAAGCCCAATCAACCATATGGTAAATCCATAAGCCTTTTGGCTTTGGGCTAATATCATGCATAGTTTGTGCTCTCTCATTATTTCTCAGCCATGTGGCTAAAATCAAGTGAGATCAAGACCAAGCAAGATTGGGGGCATCTGAACCCCAAGGCCTCCAGGCCTGGGGCTTGCACATAGGCTGCCTGCCTGGATTTGGGAAGTATCCAAAGCCCCACACCAATGAGTCTGGGAAGAAAGAGCCACACAGACTTAACAATTGAACTCTGCTCAGTCAGATTTTGCAGCTTGACTACTGGGCTTTGCCCAATTGAATCTGGAACTGATTTGGCCTTGGTGGGGAAAAAAATTACTAAAAAAAAAAAAAAAAAAAGTTTGTACTCTATCAAGTGGGTGTTAACATGCTACTTAAGTGTGTTTTCTAGAGTACCTGTGCTAAAACTTGCAGCAGTTTCAAAAAGAGTAAAATGCATCATTTCTGGGTGAACTGAGTCTATGGGCATTATATGCAAATTGCTACAGCTGTGTTTATTCCAAGGTCAGTCTTTTTCAAATTTGTTCCTCACTTTCATGTGCTCAGGGATATAACAGGGTCTGAGAATAAGCAGGCAGGAAAGGGGCTGTGGGGGTGGGGTAGGCAAAGGGGTTGCTTGATCTGCCATATTTATTTTCTCTGCTGTAGCAGTGGGGGGGACAAATGCAAGGCAAAACTCCAAATTCTAGCTTTGTTTCCTGTTCCTAGAGTTAATACACCTGGAAAACTTTATCAAATGTATACATTTTCCATGTATAGCATCTAATTATTGGGGGGTCATCTTATAATCAGGATCAAGTTGTTGTATTCAGGTAAATATGGTAATTGTCACAAAATGGAACTTAGTCTCCTGCTACCAAAAGAGCCAACCAGCTATAAAGTTAGTGCTTGAAAATCTGTAACAACTCAATAGCTGGTTTCTATCCAGCTTTCATTTGAGTGTGTAGCCAGGCCCCAGTGGTAGATAGCTCTTTTCCAGCATCTTCCCAAGCACCTTGAAGCATGTCCCAGCACCACCACACTTGGGAAAAGCAGCAGAAATAACTTGCCCTTCCCTTTCCTGATATATCTGAGGACTGGTGTAGTCTTTCCAGTTCAAGTATCACTTCATGTTGTTTTGATAGTGCCTCAGTCCCTCTCGGGGTAGAGAACTGGAAGCCTGTTCTGGTTTCCCAACAGGGGTGTGTGACACCTGAGCCAGCTGCCAGCGTGCTTGTGTTTTGTAGGGGACCAGACTTGGTTTTAATTTAATCAGTGCAACTTTCCAAGTCTGAGTCTTACTGTAAATCAGATGGTTTGAGTGAAACAATTGAAAAATCTAATCGACATTCAGCTCTTCACTTCGGACTGGAAAATAAAACTGTTAACTTCATCTCTCGCAGCATCTATTAGACACTTACACTTAATAAAAAATACATTACATTTAGATGCTTACATTTATATCCAATTTGAAGAGACATTTCTGTTTGTTTCAGTATCACGTGTAAATTTTTCATGCTCTGATAGAACAAAATTGAAAATGGCAAGAGCAGATTAAAATGATTTTTCAGCTGTTTTAACTTAATCTTTCCATTTCAACACTTCTGTTAAAGCTGTAACCGTCACACACAATGGTCCAAATGATTTCATTTGAGTGTTTGGTCTTAAAGATGATTGTAAAAGGGGGAATATTTACTTGTTCCTTTGTCTGTCTGAGCAAAGTCCACGTCTCTTGATGGAAATTTTGCCCGTTTGGTAGGTAATTCTAGCTTTGTTTCCAGTTTCCATAGTTACTAGACTAAATTTATCATGATTTTTGCACTCTTTCTAGTAGATTTTTAGGTAAGCCAGACTAGCACAGATGCACTAAGGATCTTAATCATGAGTTAGTGTCTTTTTAAAAAAAATATTCTAAATCATTCCAAATTAATCCAAAGTAATTCCTTTTGATGTTGTAGTCAAACTTATCCCATCTATTTGAAGCACTAAAATAATGAGTAAATGCTCCATGATCAAGTATGCATGGTTCGTTCCTTCTTGGAAAATGATTACATCTTTCCCTTGTGCTTCGACTGTTGACAATCCGATTGATCTATTGTAGTGCACGTTATCTGACAAATGCCCTTCTAGCCTAGAAAGCATTTTGTTCCTATAATTAAAAGCTTTTGCTTCCCAGTGGCAAGGAGTCCTGTACAGTTAGTGAAGTAAGAGCTGTGAGAGAGCAGCAGAGCTCATAGTACTCTGCACATATAAATGCACTACTCCTGGCTGTTGTGCAAAGGCATCTTGGGGAGATGGTTGGATACTAATGAATGTCACCGTACATCACCCTCCCTGCC